AAGCATCTCAGAAAGACCTCTCATATCATTTCATACTCTCCTATTCCACTTATAATTTTGTACTAGTAATTTAGCTCATTCATTTTCCTTTCAGAAAATACTATTTTCATCATTTTTGGTTGTGTTTGTGATTTTATACAATTTTTTTAGTAAGGTACCCCTTCAATTTTCGTGGAGTTATTGCCCTTGTCTTAAGGATGGGGGGGCCACAGCTGGCCAAGCCTGCTACGTGCGAAAGGGTTAAACCAAAGCCAAACGTACCCTAACCATGCCTTAAACCAAAGCCAAACACACTGACCACAACACTACACAAGACCAACACTCACAACCAATTTGTATTGTGCCGTTTATCGTATAATATATATATATCAGCTACCAGAGACGCCTTACACCAGATTGACACGTTGAAACAGAATCAAAGATTGCATATTATATATATATATCATATATATATATAAGTATTTATAATATTATATTCATAAAATAGACATAACTGTTCTTTCAATAGTACACAAATTAGAGGCTAAGGAAGTTTCACAAGATGGCTTCGGAAGATACAGTACACTTGTAGCTCACACTGTCAAGAGTCTCATGTATGTCCTCCTATGTACAGAGATGACAGTTTTGAACTCCAGTCAAACATTTAAAAAAAGCTCCATTACCTCTATCATCTTTTTAGCTTTAGTAAGAGTTTTACGGCACTTGCAATACAATAAGGTCATATAAGTGCCGAAGTTTAGAGGTGTTGAGTGAGAGTAACAAACACAAAAAAGAAGGAGGAGAGATAAGGACGACAGATGTTTGATAAGAAAGAAGGAGCAAACCACACCAGAGCACCCGTCAACCACCCACTCTCGATCATCTTTACACCTCAGTTGTTGGCAAGTCTTTTAACACTATGCCACCTCATCTCGCCGATTGGCGATGTTTCCCACCCAGTTTCTTAGGATTTTCCCCAAAATATGATGGCAAAGTGTTAATATGGTATCAATAATAGATAACATTAGTATAGCGCAAATCCCTGCTCAACAGCAAGCTCTATGCACTTCACAATCTATACTATTACCCCAAAAGACCTGATGAGAGCATTTTACACAGTAAGTGAAGTTGATGCACCTCACAAACTGACAACTCTTGTTTGTTTGTTTTTGTTCTAGTAGAGGTTTTACGGTGCTCGCAACTGCATAAGGTCACATGAGCGCCAATGAGAACTCTACCCATGGTCACTCTAGTAAAACGTTGGGCCTCAACAGTTGACTCAACAAGACCCTTGTAGTAGTTGTAGATAGCTAGCACCTAGAGGAAAAGATGAAGGAGGAGCAACTGACATGGACACATGTAATTGTACGAGAAGAGAGGACAGATGTTTTGCTTCGAACATAGAAAGCTAACTCAAAACTCATCAACAACAACTTTGAACAAAGATAACTATTGAGCTGGCATCAAAACACACAGCACACTGCGTCAAGTCAAGTCAAGACACACAGCACATTGCATCAAGTCAAGTCAAGACACACAGCACACTGTGTTGACACACAGATGTGTCACTGTCATGGCACACAAGACACAAGACAAAGGTAAGATACCCAGCCCAGGGGGAAAAACTTCCACGACAAAGCCCACCCCCTTGAAAACTTCTCCATGACAAAGCCCCCCTAGAGAAAAACTTCTACGACAAAGCCCCGCGGGAAAAACTTCAAAACTTATACGACCAATCCCCGCAATATGGCACAGGGTGACTCTCAAGCTTCTGACGCCGATGGCAGCAAAACAAACAACATACAGTAGAACACGGACAGCTCGAATTCGTTGGGGCCAGCCTCGGTAGTTTGAAGGATCTGTAGTTTGAGCGATGTCTTACAAAGACAAAGAAGAAAAGAAAAAAAAGGGAACAGTAGTCTCCTCCTAAACGCACGGTGCTCGGGGGGGCTCCTTAGCGTGTGTTTATACAGGCCTAGATATATCTAAACATTACACGCAGTCACTCAAACACCAGTCAGAAACCTTCTCTCAAAGATAGATCTACATTTCCAGTGTCCAATCAAAAAACATTTCAGACCCCCCCCTCAACTTTTCAGCGACCAGTCCTAGACCTGGAAGTGAAAACGCTGTCCATCACTCTCTTTGTTCGGCGTGAAGGGCACGCTCACCAATTTTCTAGGCTCGTCTTATGCAGGCGGTGCAGGTTCAAAGGTTGTCGTGAACATTTCCCCTTGTCAAGCTTTACCTGTCGGAATGTTTCGCGAATTGGAGCGTGCGTTTAGAGGGAGTGACCGTGCGCTTGTATGTCTAAATCATATAGTCAAAAACTCGTCAGATGATGAACGCGTTCGTTTGAGCGGAGCGTGCTTTTGTATGGCGTGCATTTAGACGGAGACTACTGTACTGCAGGCACAGTTCGACAGATGCGTGATTTCGAGTCTTTTGTGTTCGACCTATCTGAGGAACA